TCGTATCCTTTATAGGATCTTGAGTTAAATTACAATAAAGTGTGGATGAAAGAAAAAACAAGAAAGACAATATATACTAGTATGTATTGTATATGCCCCAGCCCCCACTTGAGAACTTAGATATCTAGACGGCATACACAACTGAATTGGGGGTGGGGTGGGTGGAGGTTTAGGGTTAAAGTTAGGTTAACGGGGGTACGATGGAAAGTCTTTCCCAACTTTGTAATGTTTTCTGAAGAATTGAACAATATCATTATCAATAAAGTTAAATTTCTTGGCGAAACAGTATTTTTAACTTAACTAAAACCCTTGAAATAAATATACCCTTAAACGGGAGCAGAGGTCTGGCTTCTGTCACTCTGTACATAAAATTTGAGATCTATTGAATGAATTCTAGCAATAAAAGCAATTTGTATGTGCCTCAAAATGCCCTAAATATCGAGTATAAAACGGGCTGTGAAGTAGACGACAAACATCCTCTTTGCCTGGTGTCATTTCGCCTCGGGGGGGGGGGGCTGGTTGATGACGTCACTAATTATACAGTTTTAGGGGGAGAAATTAGGGTTAGGGGTAGATTAAAGGGGGCAAATTAAAGTATTGCACTCATGTCTTGTGCAGTTAAAAATGATATTTCTATGACAGGACACCCTTACCATTACACCAATGCCCATATTTGGCATTACAGAAAGCCTTTAAATTTTTGTAGTATAAATTATAGCAGCCAGCATTACTCATGGGAGTAGATATAAATGGTGAACAAATTTTGTTCAGCAAAATTGTGTTCACCAGATCTAGGAAGTAATTTTTGTTTGTGGTGAGCAAAATTTTCCTCATGAAACGGATAAGGGCCATTGAATGAAATCAGGGTGGGTAGAAAAGCTTGTACTTGTATTTAAAGTTGTCATTTTTTTTAATGTTTATGTAACTTGATGTAACTTGATGGAGACAAGAAATAAATATACTATAATTATACTGAAAAAAACTAAGTTTACATGTGTATGTGAAAATATTGCCCCTTCTATGCCAAGATTAAAAGCTGTTTTTTTGGTCAACAAAAAATACCAAAATTGTGATTACCTATTTTTTCCCACCATTTATCCAATCTTATTAGTCATCAAATTAGGTCATTTTGTATAATCAATAACTATCAGTAACTATCATGTACTTGGAGAGTTTTACCAAGAATTCCTACGATGGCCCAAGTATTGGAGAATAGTTGAAGTTGATAGCAAAGATTTTGAGTAACTTGGCCAAAAATCAATTCTGGAATTTCTGATTTATTGCGCAGCTTATCCACAAAGTATTTATTGTTGTCACTACAATAAATCCTGTTATGCATTGCTGTTTGGATTCTGTATTGGGTGTGTGCTAAACAAACATAACCTAGAAAGTATGTAATGTTCCAAATTCACTCAGTGGTAACATGAGTAAAATTGTTGTGTTATAAATTTGAAACAAAGGGATCTACCGGTAATGGCTAATCAAGAAACAATTCAAGAATTGCTCAGACTTATCTCAAAGTTAATGGGAAAATGGTTTCGTAATAAGTCCATCTTCGATCGTTGAACAGAAATTCCTGTGTGCGATTCAGTGAAATGATGATACCCTAATATGCTGAAACGGACATGACTATTCAGCTTTTAGCAAGAAATTGTTGAAGCGAATATCTTGCAAATAACGTAGCTTTTGCTTTTATTACATTACACATTTCTTGACACATCAAATTATCATCTGATTAGAATAAAAGGTTTTTTCAATTATTTCTTTCCTCTTTTAATTATTTTTGATGTCACTTTATTTTTCCATTCTGATCATGAAATGTGATTAATCGTGAGACCAAAAAATAGATAATGCTAAATACAAATAATACAAATAAGATCTTATTTTAATCAGGTTGGTTTTGCTGACACAAGTTTAAAAGAACATATAAATTATCATATCCTGTGTACCAATTCTTTTGAACGTTGCTTATACTCGCTGATTGAGTTTTGTTGGCATTTATTGTCCTAATAAATGTACTGATCACTTTGTGTATGACCCGTCAAAACAAGCTCCTAGTGGTTAAAGAGGTACTGACCCTATGTGATGAGACCCACCCATTGTGACCCCATTCTTTTTGTAATCTAACCTCACCCATTTGCAACTATGAATGTAATTGAACTCCTACATGTACTTTTCAAAGTGTTATACTATCCAAAATGAAAAAGAAACTAAAGTGCTTGGTTTTTTGTTATTGATGACGATAACATTTTAGCAACATCACAGTTTGCTTGACAATCCATGTTCCCAAATTTCATGATTTTAGTGACTCACAAAAATTTGCCTCTCAACAGTTAACTATGTAAGCTGTGAGTGACAATTTGTTTTTGCAATTTCTCAACATTATTGATCATCATATAGTGGTGATGTTTAGCTGTCTGTTGACTTAGCTGATTGCAACCTGCACTAGCCTTTTTTGACAGTAATATTCTGAAATTGCGCATGGCCAAAACAATTTTTTTTTCTCAATGTGAACAGAAATGTGAACAAAAAATCCATTTATCTTGTTTGTGGACACTACATATGCAGTTAGAGTGATGTCTCAGTGTGATTCTGTATTTTACGTGTTATTTTTGTTTTCACTATTCTCTCCATTGTGGCTATTTAGTGGCCATGATGGCGATAAAACTTTATAGGAAACATATTTTCCATGACAGTTCTAACAACTTTTTTAATAACTTTTTTTTTTCAGTGCGTCATACTTGTCGTGCACCAATAATACCACATGGGCATGTAGTTGATGATCAGTTCTCGTACCATACACAATTTAAAGCTGGTGAACATGCATTTACTGTTTGCAATGAGGGATATCATCTAAGTACCACTAATAATACTAATGTATGTCAGAAAAACAGCAAGTGGGCATATAGTTGGCCACAGTGCATTAGTAAGTATATTGATATCATGGGTATTCATCACAGCTTCCTAATTTGCATAATTATATTTGTATAATAAGCACTTATGCACTACAAACATTATGATACAAATTAACATCATACCTTGGTGATGTTTCTCCACATTGGCCGCTGACTCTTTTTTTTTTTCCTTACTGAAAAGTCACATTTTGGTGATAATTTAAAATTGATATTCGTGATTTGAAAAAGTCATAAAAGTAACTACGGCAATAACCATGACAATAAATATTTTTTATTGCTAAGGTATATATATATATATATATGTTGCACGATATTTTATCACAATACCTAGGCAATGGTTAGAATATTTGCCTCGTATCAGGCAGGTTGTCGGTTTGATTCCCATAGATAATTGTTCTAATAATAAATCATCTACACTTAGCCTTGCCTTCTAAATTAGGTTTGGGAGACTGGTTTTCTGGCTTGATTTATATTTTACTAATTTTGTTGACAAGTAAAATTCAATATAAATTACATGTATATCAATGTGAACATGTGAAATTAAAATAGAACCAATTATTTAACTTGCAAGTACATTAATTTAAATTCCTGTTCGAAATAGAGAAATTACATCCCAGTAAAAATAAATAAAATTCATGCTTTTTCTCAGATTAAATGTGCAGCGAATATACGAATATACAAGGGAATAATTCCCTTTTGACATCACCGATTAGTAAATACATGTATTGCCCAAGCAATATGTAGGTGTGGGTATGAAATATTACTTCCTATTTTTGTTTTGTAGTAAGCTAACATTACACCCCAATCAAACTCCAACATCATCTTAGTGACAGTTCAACAATTTGTTCATACCAGTATATTTAGTCCCCGTTTGGACGCAGTCCAAAAACGAGGACTTGTGTTTTGACCTCCGTGCTTCCGTGTGTGCGTGCGTGTGTGTGTGCATGCGTCTGAATCTGTATCTTAGAAATGCCTGGACCAATCACAATAATGACATTATACATATGCACATCAATTTGTTTCACGATCTGATTCAAGTTGGCCTAATGGCAGCCATTTTTGTACTGAAAAATCATCAAAATTAAGAATTTTGTCGGCTGTTTACAGATGTATTTTGTTCAAACTTGGTATATACATTGAACATTATAGGACATTGATGCACACCATTTTATTAGTCCCTGTTCGAATGCAGTCCGAAAACGGGGACTTATGTTTTGACCTCGTGTGTTTGTGCGTGCGTCCGAACCTGTATCTTAGAAATGCCTCGACCAATCACAATCAAACTTCACACATACATCATACATGATATTATACATATGCACGTCAATTTGTTTCACGATCAGATTCAAGATGGCCGAATGGCGGCCATTTTTGTGCTAAAAATCATCAAAATCAAGCATTTCTCGGCTGTTTACAGATGGATTTTGTTCAAACATGGTATATACATTAGACATTATAGGACCTTGATGCACATCATTTTGTTTTACGATCTGATTCAAGATGGGCGAATGGCGGCCATTTTTGTATTAATGAATGTGGTTCTCATGCCATATCTCAGACTTGCTTTCAAATGTGGGGTAACAGCCACCATATTTGAGTCAATGCAAAGCAACCAACAAGCTTGTGTCTGATTGGCTACCCAACCCTAACACCTTACAGTCAGATCAATCCGAAAGCAGCTTGTTGTCTGTTTTTTTTTTTTTTGACGTATGTTTTGCCTTATACAAATGCTTTGACTGCCAGATTAACACCCATATTAAAATCCTTGTATTGACAGAACACAAACCTCTCATATCTGTTGTCATATCTGTTGTCATATCTGTTATTTTTCCTCTTCATGTAGGTATCAGATGTCCATCTCCTCTTCCTATTGACTATGGTGACTATACAATTAAAAAAACTGATGTTAGCTCTTCCAGCTATGCTGTGCTTTATCATTGCTTTTCTGGATATGTCTTAGTGGGGTCAGCTAGGCTGATGTG